GCAATGGGAATGAAGATGAGCATTCCCATGCCAGCATCGTACAGCCGAGCAATTGACTGATGGATTTCCACAGTCCAATCTCTTCATCAACGGCTTCCACGCCGCAGCAATCTTCAGAAAGAAATAAATATCCATGTTAAAAGATGGGATAGTGGGTAAAACATGCACGAAACGTAATTTCAGTAAAATTAACAATAGACTACTACGAACCCAGACACTACTAAAATGTCTAGTCGAAGTTGTTTGGATTCCAACAGCTGAAGTTTCTCTTAACTGGGGTTAAAATTTTTACATCAAAAGATAATGTTGGGCAAAGCATCCTCTAAGGACCTTTGGGATCCATAATTTTGATGTATGAATTTACCAATGCAGGATGTAGTATCTTACTTTCTGCTCCCATGATTAAACCAAATAACTAAATGACAAATATAGCCATTCACATATAAGATTTCTTTTCTTTCATCTCGTCTAGCCTGGTGAAGATGAAGACAGTTATTTGGAGATTCAAGAACTTTCAGGTGAAGAGAACTTACAGAAAGAATTCCCCATCCAGTAGGTACAAATGCTAAGATGAATGCAAATATGTCTGTAACTGACAAGTCTGTAAATACAACTGCAATGGCTATACCAGCCAGGGCCAACAAGAACAAGATGCCTTGGACGAACCGCAAGACAAGCTGAAAATTAACAGACATCTTCTGGCTGAAGGTGAATACCTGTTAGACCGACGAAATGAGGCGGGATTTAGAACAAAAATAATAAATACATTTAGAAAATAAGAAATCCATTCCATGTACACACCTTGAAAAGAACTATAAGTCCAAGAAGCACAATCCATGACACTCCATACACCTACAGAATACCCAAATAAGGCATTAGCATTAGAAACCTCCTCTCACTGTTTGGATCACAACTAAGATCAAGGAATCTGCGCAGTGCACAAATCACATCTATAGTTTATAGGGCTTCAATGTGAGAAAATAAAATCTAAAATGAGGATAACAAATTAAAGTAAAATACAAAGAAAGTTGAAGATGCCGGTACTAGTTTCAACCAATAGCTCAAAATTGCTTCCCCAACAAAAACAGGATAAAGACAAGCACAGTGAATATTGCTATATACTGAACATCAAGAATGGACAGTTAATGAACCAGATGCCTCCCCAGTGAATATATAATAACCCATATTTACAATTTCCTCATGCTTAATTAGAGAAAAACCAGAAAAAATTAATAAAATCGCACATTAAATGTCAGGCATTATTGGCACCACAACATTTAGCAAAACAAGTATATTATCAAGTATGAAGCAAAAGTAAGCCGGTCTAGTTAGAAGATACTGAACTTCACGTCACCCACCGCCAAGACTCCTAAAAAACATGGGGTCCACAGCACTACAGAAATAAACCACCAACTCTGC